CTTGTTCTAAGTAGGTGCTTTAGACCACTGAGCCATCTCACCAGCCCCACTGAGCCATCTCACCAGCCCCTCCCCTACCACTTTTAAAAATAACTTTATTTTAAGACAGAGTTTCATTGTGTAAGGCAGGCCAACCTTGAACTTGCTATATAACTGAGGCCCACTTTGAACTTGAAAGCCTCTTGGCTTCAGCCTCCTGAGTAGATAGGATCACAGACTATGTCTCCATCCTTATCTGATAAACAAAACTCTTAACTGAAATATGTAGGGCAGAGAATATAATTGTTTAAAGGAATTCTGTAGCATAATTTCTAATAAAATTGATAAATATCTCAATGTAGTGTTTTTAAACCCTACAGAGAAATTTTGTTTTGCAGTACTAGAGATTGAAACCAGGGAACACTGGGTTACATCCCTAGTCCATTTTATTTTTATTTATCTATTTATTTTTTATGTAGTTAGTACAGGGCCTACAGGGTCTCACTACACAGATTGGACGTGTAGTGATCCTCCTGTTTTCATCCTCCCAGGTGCTGGGATTACAGGTGTGTGGGGTAGGGCCAGCAGGACATGCCATGGGTTGAACCTGGCCCCTGAACTTGCCTAAGCAGGTGCGTTAGTCCGCTGAGCTCTCTGGCCGGCCCTCCCCAGTACTTTCTAAAATTTTAGTTTAGTTTCTTTTTTAAAATCTGTATACGTTTATGACCCGTATGATTCCATTCACGTCTGGGAATCGGTGCGTGTGCACAGCATGTCTCCGTCGCTGTGCTGACTTTCCCTCACTGCCCTCCCATTGCTCCCCTTTTAAAATTTTATTTTGAGACGAGATCTCACTGAGTTGCCCAGAGTAGCCTCAAACTTGTGTTCCTCCTTTTTCAACTTCCTGAATAGCTGAAATTAAGGGCATGTGGCTCCATGACCAGCTGAAAAGAAAATTAGACTTTATTCTAGATATGCCACACTAAATCACAATTTTGTTTAGAGAGGGTTGGCTGGGTTTTTTTTGGCCGGAACCCGGGATTGAATTCAGGCCCTTGTGCTTGCCAGGCAAGCGCTTATTCCACTGAGCTATCTCCCCGGCCCCCTTTTTTTTTTTCTTTTGAGTCATTCTTGCTATGCAGTTCAGGCTGGCCTTGAACTCACTTTGTAGCCAAGGCTGGCCTAGAACTTGGCAGTGATCCTCCTTCCTGAGTGCTGGACTTGTAGCTGTGTGCTAACTCTCCCAGATATTTATAATTCAGGCCATCTAGAGTGCTAGAATTTAGGCATCTGCCTACATGCTGAACAGATTATAGATTTTAGTATGAAGAACATAACTCAGATTTACACCTGGGTTGGTGTGTGTGGTTGATTCCTCTCAAAGGCAGAATACATTGAAAAGAAAGGGATCCACTCAGGAAAGACCAGGCCTCACTGAAGATTGGTTTTAAGGAATAAGAAGCATTTTACCGGGTCCTGAACTTTGGAGCATTTCTAAAGTCAGATACTGCACTGAAGAAATCTGACTTTCATCACTTAATAACTAGCAGTGCTGTGACAGTTGGAGAGATTTTTTTTTTTTTTCTGACCTTTATGCTTAGTGATTTTGTTTTATTTTTTTTTTTGGCTGGACTAAGGGTTGACCCCAAGGGTGCTCAACCCCTGAACTATAAATAGCTCTAGCCTTTTTAATTTTCATTTTGAGACAGGGTCTTTCTTTACTGTCCCAAACTGGAAATTTTCTTGCTTTGGCCTTCTTAGTAGCTGTTGTTACATGCTACCTCCTAGCACATAGTGTTGTTTTTTTTTTTTTTTTTGTGTGTGTGTGTGTGGTACCAGAGATTGAACTCAGGACCCTGCACTTGCCAGGCATGCACTTATTCTACTGAGCTGTCTCCCTGGCCCAAATAGTGATTTTTGATATGGGTCATAGACTATTTAGACAAGTTGAAAGTAATAGGTAACACAAAATCCAGATTTTTTTTTTTTTTTTTTTTTTTTTTTTTTTTTTTGCCTTATGCCCTTACACTTGCCAGGGAAGCGCTTATTCTACTGAGCCATCTCCCTGGCCTCACCCTTTCTCTTTTTTTGCCTTAAGGTCTTACCATGTAGTTCAGGCTGGCCTTGAACTCACTATGTAGCCCAGGCTGGCCTTGAACTTTTGGTGATCCTCCTGCCTCAGCCTCCTGAGTGTTGGGATTATAGATATGCACTACTACATGCTCTGGGGTTTATTCTTTTTTTTTTTTTAATGTATTTGGGGAGCTTTGCCAGATGGTTCAGTTATTTAAAGTGCTGCTTGGGTAAATGCAGGCAGGCGCATAGGACTGGTTCAATTCCCAGCTCCAGAAGCTGTACCAGACCTGCCCTTAAAGTAGCCTGAAGTAGCTGAAAAAAAAAAACAAACCAAACTCCTCAAAATTTTAGGGAGATAGCTCAGTAGAAAAAGCGCTTGCCTGGCAATTGCAGGGTCCTGAGTTCAATCTTCCTTTAGGGAAGGGTCTACAGGGTGTTTAGGGTCTCACTCCTAGATAGGACTCATAGTGATTCTCCTGTTTACAGCCTCCCAAGAGCTGGAATTACAGGCGCAGGACACCACACCCAGTCTCAATTGCCCTCTCAGTGTGCCCAGTGGGTGGGGCCGGCACAGCAGGCCTGGGGATTGAACCCCTGGCCCCTGCACCTGCTTGCAGGCGCTTTAATCCCCTGAGCTATTTGGCCCGCCCTGACTTACAATTCTTTTTTTTTTTTTTTTTTGCTGAACTGGGGATTGAACTTAGGCCTTTGTGCTTGCCAAGGAAGCGCTTATTCTACTGAGCCATCTTCCTGGCTCTCTGACTTATAATTCTGACTTGTGTGTGTGTGAAAAGTAGTTTAAAGGAGAGACTGGCTTAATAGGTGTGCCTGTGTGTATTACAGAAACCAGCATCAGAGAATAAAAATCTTCACAGCATTAAGATCAGAAGCTTTGAGGCTGCCTCACTCTCCTGGCAGTGACTTAGGCTCCAACTCCTGCTCTTAGCATGGTGTTTCCCAGGAATTATAAAATTGTATTTTTTTTTTTTTTTTCCTCCTTTGCCCTCCTCTTACCTCCTTTTCTGCCTTCTTCTTTTCACTCCTTCTGTCCCTTGTCTTTGTCTCGGTGTCTGTCTGTCTGTCTGTCTGTCTCTCTGGACAACTTTATGGGATACTGTCTCAAAATAGAGAATATTTTACAGGTTTTAGTTTAAGTGTTGTAGCTAACCAGGATAGAAAAATACCACATTTTACAGATGAAGAAATTGAAATTTAGGTTAGTGTGCCTAACATTTTATAATTTAACAGGTAAGGGAACTAGAATTCAAATCTTTGCTTTTAGAATTCAAACCTTTCATTT